ATTCGATTAATAGAATTTCTCGTATTCAAGTGGAATATGTATTATCATTGACTCATTTGACTCAAATATATCTGATATAGTGTAAAGAATAAAATTAAGAATGAAATTGACACATAACACCATCTTTTATATTTAATAAAACCATAGTGATTGAGGAAATTCATAAGAGCTAGTATTAAATGAAAGTATTAGGTATTTGCTTTTCAAATAATATCTTGCTTTAAGAGCTAGTATTAAATGAAAGTATTAGGTATTTGCTTTTCAAATAATATCTTGCTTTCATACATTTTCAAGAGGGAACTATCATTTGAAATTCATTTGGCTAATATACGATTTTAGATTTAAGTATTTGTTTTGAAATATATATTATCTTGCTTTTATATGGTTTCAACTTTCAATAATAATTTTCATAAGAGAATTCATTTGTCTAGGAAGATTGCAAATTTTGGGAATATTTGCAAGATCTTAGTTTATTATTTTGAAAGAACAATTATATTGTTAGTCTTAACATTTTTACTTCTAACAACTCATTTTGCCGATATTTCATGATATTTTTTTATAGCATAACATCCCGTAAGTTTATCATCAGTCCATTTTCTCGTAGTGCTAAGTTATAATCTCAAAATTTTCTTTCTCTTAATTTAATAAGAAAATATATACACAATCACTTAGAATTTTTCTCCATTGAATACAATATATATATATATATATATATATATATGTATATATATATATATATATTTGGCTTGAATGATGAAAACAAAGATGAATTTGTGGATTTATTGAAATACTAGTACAACACCCGTATATTACACGGGTGCTTGCTAATTTTTTTCTTAAAATTTAAAATCAATGAGAAAAAGTAGTTTGAAAATTTAAATACCTTTTATAAGAATATATACATTAATATATATTTATTATGATAATTTTTATTTGTGCGACTTACTTGTGTTATATTACACTAATTTTTTAACTTATAATACATAACTACATTAAATATAAATATATCAATTGAGAAGTAATTTTATTTTTCGAAAGAATTTTAATAAGTATTATTATTTTTTATTATTATAAAGATAAATATAATTTATTAATTATATATATACAATATGGATGTCAAATCGAAGATCATCAAAAGATGATTAATTTGATATATTATATATGTAAAACCGATAAGAAATACAAAAGTTATCAACTTTTAAAATACATTTATAATTCAATAGCTTATTGAAGGAAGCAAATCAAAATTTAGGGATATATTAGTCACTTAGTGCCTCACTATGTAAAATTACAAATAATTAAAGGGTTATATTAGTAAAAGTGATGTTAAAATACCTAAGTTAGCTAAATAATATTTATGGAATACCCGAACCTAGATTATTAATTATTAATATATCAATATTATTTGTCCAAACCTAATTACGAAGCATGATTTTTCGCCAAATAGGATTCCGAAGCACCAGAAGCAGCCACGTAGGCTCAACGCATTCGGGAATTATATATAGGGAGGATTTGATTTAACAGGACACGTCCGCAGTATAGATCAATTTGAAGATTGTTTTATTTTCACCAACATTTGGTATTTTCCGGTTGATAAAAAATACTCTCCTATGTTTTTTTTTAAATGTCATTATAGTTTTATCAACTATTTGCTAAATAAATGTCGTTTTGGATCTTTTATACATATTTTTCCATTATTACCCCCATTTAGCTAATACATACATTACGTATTTTCATATTCACTTTTCATTTTTTCTCAAAACTTTCTTTTTTGGTTACGAAGAAGGTTTCAAAGATAGGGGGAAGACTCAAACAGGAGCCGTACAACCACCGTGACCAAAGTGCTTGGGAACTGCGCCGAGAAAGGAAGATGAACCCTCCCTTCCATTCGCACTCAAAATTCATCTTTATCTTCATTAAATAAGGGTAT